AGGAGGAGGGATCCGTGTCCCTGCCCTGGCCGCGCGGCGCCTCTGGCCTCGTGGCCGCGAGGGCAGGTGCGAGTGCGGGGGGCGGCGGCCGGGCCCGCGCGGGGCGGCCTCGCTCGTGGTACCGCCCGCTGCGCCTGTGTGCGGGGAGCCGCATGGATGCGCCCGTGTGTCCGTGCGCATATGTGCGTGCACATACGTGTAAAGAAGCTGTTTGCTTGAATACTGCGGGTGGAAGTGTTATTATTTATACATAATTACTGTGTTTTAAGTTGTTAAACTAATTAACAGGTCAGTGTAATGCCTCCCTTAAAAAAAAAAAAAAGATATTTTCATATTTGACAGTAAACACTTATGCCATCATCAAGGCAATATCTGGAAGAAATTATTTTTTTTCAGTGTTTTTATGACACTGGAGTCTGCTTAGTTCTGTGACAGACTAAGTATGCTTAATAGAGCCGGAAGATAATTTCCAACTAAACTGTTAAAACTACCTTATTTGTAAAAATATTGCATTCAGTCTTTTTAAAACATGTTTTTGAAAAATGCCTCTCTTTTTTTTTTTCCTCTCTGTTTTGTAGGTTAACAACTGTCTTCAGCTGGTTATCCAGACATCATCAATAACAGATAAAAACAAACCGGTAAGTGTTTTTTGTTGTTGTTTTTGTTTTTTGTTTTTGTTTGTTTGTTTTTTCTTTCTCTTCGAAGTAATAACATGTTAATGCAAGTTTATGGTGTCCCTTGACTTGTATGCTTGCTGATGGGAATTGCCTTTTTTATTAGCAAGCAGTTTACTCTTAATGGTTTTTTTTTCCGATGTATCCAGTAGTCTTTTGGTAATTTATTTCATTCTGCAGTGGTTATATAAAAGTCACTGGATAATAATGTAATGCGCTATAAATTTGATAAGTGATGTCGTGTTTTTCTGTCTGCATTTTTCACTGTTATTCTTGGACCTTTCTTGTAAGGATTTCTTGTATACTAATGGAATGAATATTGCTTTCAAGATGGTGTAATTCTGCTATTCTTTTAAGCACTTGCACAATTTGAAGAAGTGTTTGAAAGCTTTTACATTTATTATGTCTTAAACCTTGTAACATTGTGTTACAGTTTGAGTTCAGGATAAATAAAGAGCAGTCATCTTTCCACAATAGACTTCTGCAGCATGATCTGGAGAAGAACTATTCAGGAAGGCAAGGTAATGTTCGGTATGGTTTGGATTTTTTTTTAGCCTCCAATTTTCTTTTTTTCTATTACTATTTAGTAGACAGTGTTGTTGCAAAAAAAAAATGCATTAGCTTATAGTAGTATCTATGTCTACATATTATAAAATAAAATTTCTGTAGATTAGATGCTATCTTTAAGTTCGGGCATTGAAGCTATGAAACTGTTACACATCCTTACTTTAAACATCATAGAATTTTTATTGTCAAAAGAATATGTGATATCTGCTGTGTGACAAATTGTCACAAGCTGTCAGAAATAAAGCAAATGGTTATACTTTTGAAAGAGGAAATGGAGGGCTATTGTGGTAACCTAAAAATGACAGGAAAGAGCCAATATATAGAACCACTGAATGGAGACCAAGTGCTGTTTCATGCACTGTGTATTTTTTTTTTCTTAAGAAAATTATTTCCTTTAATGTTATTTAGTTAATGGAACGATTTTCTGAAGGAGTAATTCAAATATTCTGTGTATGACTTTCTGATAGATAACACAAATTTTGGGAGCAGTTCATCAATAACATCGTTTCCTGTATTGCAACGTACAACTGAAGAGAAAATCCTGAACTCTGATAGGCTTACCCTGGAAAGGTGAGTAATATTTTAAGTAGGGTGTATTTGAGATTATTTAGTTGTCACATTCTGTATGTAGGACTTACATGCATCGTAACTTGCAACTCTTGTGTCTAATGGCCTGAAGCGATGAGTGTTTTAGTAATGCCCTTTGTGGTAGGTAGTTGGTGAGTTGTTCATGGTGTCTATGTGGCTTTTGTTTGGGATTTGAGTGAGGTGTGTCAAATTCAATCAAGAAATTCTGCATTAGTCTCCTTATGGTAAAAACGCAACATGTTTTAAAGTATTTTTGTACAGTAGTTATCTAAGGTATCAAGGTGTTAGGATTTTTCTCTTTCAAGTTACAGAACTAACTTAAGATGAACTAGCTCAAGATCAATCAAGAAACCTATGGAAATTCAGAATCTAATGTATATCTAGTTTTAGTCAGATGGATTAACTTTTTTTGGTCCTAGTTATCTGAAAGGCATCTTTAATTGTCAAGACATAGTTTTTTATTTGAGAGGGAGAGCTGTTTTTGTTTGCTTGTTTCTTCTTAAATTTAAGGTTTACATAATCCAAAGTGTCATGAGCTCAGTTGGATTGAGGTAGTTTAGAGATAGCCTGAAGATGGGAGTAATCATTGTCAGGAGCTCTTCTTGTATTTTTTTACTCTATGTATTAACACTTACATTTAGGCTACAAACACACAAAATAATAAAATGCTGGAAACCAAAGAAAAAAACATGTAGACATTTCACATCTAACTAATTTAAACAAGCTGTTTGTGTGGGGTCTGACTACAACCTTGGCAGATTGTATTTACTAAAAATTTATAGTGTGGTCACAATATGAAACTTTGGAGCTGCTAGTTATTGTGCAAGATACCTATGTAACAAGCCAATCTCTGCATAAGAAGCATTCTGAAAATTCTGAAAGCATTTCTGCTACCTTTTGGTGTGAAGTTTTTTAATATAAAAGTCATTGCTGCATCTTACTGTTGTTTAAAATTGAGTTAGTCAACTTAATTACCTTAATTAAGATAATGCCCTTTTTCATTTCAGACAGTAATATTGAAGGGTAGATTACTGATTTGTTATTTAAGGGTGTCTATATTCTTTTTTCTCCTACAGGCAAAAATTGACGGTGTGCCCAATTATTGATGGGGAAGATCATCTTCGCCTCTTGAATTTTCAGCATAACTTTATAACTCGGATCCAGAATATTTCTAATCTACAGCATCTTGTTTTCTTAGATTTATATGATAATCAGATAGAGGAAATCAGTGGGCTTTCAACTCTAAGATCTCTGCGAGTCCTTTTGTTGGGGAAGAACAGGTAAAAATAATTTAAAGCAGCCTAGTTTGGTGTAAATTTGGTGATCTGTCATCGTATCAAATGTTCAGAGTTTTCAGTTTGTAATATTGACCATGAGACCAGGGAGATGGCTCCTTTTCTTGGGGTCTTCAGGCTGCTGCCCTCCTTGTGCCACATACTTCCTCAGGCAAGTGAATTTGTGCCTGATTATGGTACTGTTTGATGGATAAGTCTGGTAAAGCTCTCAGCCTCAAGGTAAGGGAAGGGGAAAATACAAAGGAAGTGAACAACATGATGGGAATACAGTGTTGGGGCAGTTAAGCTTCTGAAGCTGGCCGAGCAAATCTTGTTTCCACAGCATGTATCCTTTGGGAAAGAAGACATGAGAATAGCATAGGGCCCCTTCAGAATTTCTCAGTAAGCTTTCTCTGTGCAGAGGCAGATGGAATGAAACTTTGTGAGGAAAAAACCTCTGAAATATCCATGCTGTAATCTAAGATACTGTCAATTTATGATAGATTGAGATACTTGTTAAAACAGGTGTCTGTCTTGTCTACTCTCAGTTTTTTTTGGTAATTTGAAAGAATCCTGAAAAAAAACAAAGCAATCAATTTTTGACCCATATTGGAAATGTTTGTCTGCCTGTCATGCATCAGGTCTTGCATACAGAAATGCATGTTTTCATGTACACCAGTGAGAATATTTATGACATTCAGGGATATAATAAAGTTTAATCTGATTTCTTGAAACTTGCTTATGAATCCAAAGTGACAGAGTGATTCAAGATGACAGAGCTAGAAAGGCAGTACATGTATTTAAGTATTAGATTTTTGTATTTTTCTAAAGCAATTATAATATGCCAATAGGATGAGTTTTTTAGCTTTTTTTTCTTTTCTTTTTTTTTAACCTATTCTTGAAGCAAATTGCAGTGTGTGTGACCAGTAACACCCTCAGCCAGTAGATGATGCTGTTGGCTATATAGTAGCCTAGGTTTATTTTCTCAACAAATAGAACAGAAAATAAAAGCTCTGATTTTGAAGCTCAACAGGGAGACAGTAAATACTGCCAGTCAGAGATCTGTGTTGCCTGTGTAGGACCAGTGCTTTATTTTTATTGCCAGTTCTAGCAAACTCTTGAGATTCTTTGTCATAGTGATCCCCCCTGGTTTGGGATCAGCTATTTTCTAGTTGTATTTTGTGTTGTTTGGCTAGTTTGTATGCTTTGTTTTCTAAAGATGTAAGTTTTGGTTCCCTTTCACACAAGAGGGAAGGGCATAGTGCTACTACGTTGTGTTTTTGATGTTCAGAAAGGAAGGCATGAGCCTAAAAACACTCATTTGTTGCTCTCTCAGATGGTTGATAGCTTTATTACTCTATCTGTTACTATTTATAGTTATAAATGACTCATATTTTTATTAGTTGGAAAATCAAAACTTTAACATAAAATATTTTTGTCATTGTTTAAATGTTTCAGATTAAAGAAAATCTCAAATCTGGAGAATTTAAAAAACCTTGATGTTTTAGATCTTCATGGAAATCAGGTATGGTGTCATAAATCCGTTGTTTAAGATGCTTGCATAGTAAAAGATGCAGAAAATGTGGGGTGTCTAAGCTGTTGCTTTCTGAGGGGCAACTGCCGGTGAATTTGGAGTGGCAGAGTTCTTGATCCAGGGTGGTATGGTGTTAATTTTAATCCTGGTATCCAGTCTGCTGCATTTTCATCATTTTGTCCTGTTAGGAAGTTACAGCAACTAAAATCCAAAGACAGCCAAACATGACAGCATGCATTCGGGTGTAAACCTGCAGAATAAGCATCCAATTTAAGTGTGATTATAGCCATAATATGGTTACTTAAAGATATTAAGCTCATTTTTTCTATTTTGTTTATTTGTTTTGTTCTTTTTTCTGCTATTGTTGATCTTACAAAACAAGATCCCTTACATATCTGTAAAGGATTTGCAGGTTCTTATAGGAAAAACTAAATTAATCCAAGCCCCTGGTTCATTTAGGCTTCTGAACTGGCTTAACTTCTATTGAGTTTTCCTATGTTTGAGGCTATGCCATCATAGATGAGATATGTCTTATCTATGTATTCCAAGTAGCTTATCTGAATGATACCTGAAGTTTCAGCTGAAACATATACAGGAGAAAAGTTACTACTTAATGGATATGTCATGAACAACATGAAGTAAATAAGGGTAAAACAGATAGTGTTGTTTTTATAAAATAAATGTAACCATGGAGCATTTTATATCCCATGTATTTGAGCTGTTTAAAACAACATATGGTTATTGTGACTATGTAAAGTCAATGTGTGAATTTTCTGGATTCCTGCTTTAACAGTTCTGACTTCTTACTGATGTGTGTTTTTCATTATATTACAGCTTAACAGTGGGGAATGGAAATACTATCAGACCCAAATAACACCATAGTTGGTTACTGGCATGTGTGCTAAGTTTGTGGCTTCTGTGAATAGCATAATCAGTCTGGCAGTATGCATGGTATTCATTAGTGACAGATGCAGTATGGGAGTAGAGTAACTTTGTCGCTAGAGTCTTGGAGGGGTAACTTTTTAGCCAGGAACTTTATTAGGAGATTGGACATAGCATCCAACTGGCTGCTGTTTGAGCTTTGTAACTATAGGCTACCTTTGGCCCAGAGAATATCACAAATTAACTTGTTTTGGGAGTTGAGTATTAAAGCTCCGGAGTATAAATGCTTCTCTAGAAAATTTGAGTCATGTCCAAGCACTCAGATGTTTGCACCTGCAAAAATGGGATATTTAGTTGTTTGTGCACTTTTGATTTTTACATTCAGTGCATTTTCGAGATAAACTAAATGGAGATTTTTGAACTTCCCTTCTGTTGATGAATGCTATCTTTTTTGTTCTTTTCTGATCTATGGCTAGGTTTTTTTTTTCTAGTTATGTGATTATTCATTTAAAATACCAGCCTCCATGCATATTTTTTTGAATGCACAATGAAGAAATAAGTAGTGCATCTGAGATGCCGCTTAGGAGCGTGTCAGCCCACTGTGTTGTTTTCAAGTCTGTTTGTTTTTTTCGTGTGTTTTTAATGATAGAGAGGTTATGTGCCTTTTAACTTGAGACCGAGATTCATGCAACCTTTACTTGGGCACCCTTCTATTTTATCTTAAACTGTATATCTCCCAAATCACAATTTTCTCAATAATCTTCAACTACAGAATTGCTTTTGAGAACATTAAAAGATGCCTTCAGGTATTGCAGAATGTAGCAATTAAAACAACTTAATGCTGCCATCTTTTCAGTCATTCTCTCACTAACTGCAGATATTTTAATGACACTTCTGGTATTTTTCTCACATCTGCAGGAAACATAGTGTATCTTTTTGTAAATTGACGACATGGCATGGGAATCTTGTGTTCCTGGTCTTTAAGGCTGTTTTCTAGACGAGAACAGTCTTTGAGGAGGCATCTGTATCTTGTTGCCAGGAATCTTTATATGTTTTTAATATATTTTTGGGCCACGGTGTAAAATTTGTACTATAAAAGGCATTGTTCAGACCTGCTTATGTTGTTGTTTTGTTGTACTGATTACAAACTATTTTTTCGTAAATGTAATTTTAAAACAAAATTGTTTCAAAAATTGTCATTATAATTAAGTTTGGCTGGGGGAGGGCGACTGATGCTGAACTCTTCAGGAAGAAGTAAATCCTTTAAGAATGGTGTTAATCTAAAATATGATCTTTTTTTTTTTCCCTGTTGGTTGTTGCATAGATTGTAATTAGCTTAAAACAGGGATGTCATTTATATGAATATAAAAAACAAGTCAGCCTCACCTGAATCCCTGGGAAGGTCATGGAGCAGCTGGTCTTGGAAAGCATTTCCAAACACATTAAGGGCAAAAAGTGACTGGGAGCAGTCAGAATGGATTTATGAAGAGGAATTCATGTGTGACCACTTGATAGCCTGCTATGGCTAAATGTCTAGTTCAGCAAATATGTGGAGAGCAGTGATGTTTATCTTGATTTTTCAGGAAGGCTCTTGACCCAGTCCCCTGTAAATCTTCCTAGAAACACTGCTGTGATACAGACTAGAGAAATGGGGAGCAAGACGGATTGAAAGCTAGCTGCACTGTCAGACTGAAAAGGTTGTGGTCAGTGACATGTAGTCCAGCTGGGTGCCAGTTCACTAGTAGTTTGCCCCAGGGACTGATACTGTTTGTCATTAATAATGACCTGGGCAGAGTGTACCCTGGGGAAGCTTGCAGAAGCTGCAAATGTGGGGCAAGTGGTTGATGCACTAGATGGTTGTGCTGCAATTCAGCAGCAGGCTGGAGCAATGGGCAAGCAAAAAGCTCATGAATTTCAAAGCCGAGTCTTTGGAAGAATAACCCTTTGCATGATACATGTTGGAAGATGACCAGCTAAAAAGCAGCTTGCATTAAAGCATGTGGGGGCATGTTGGGGAACAAGTGGAACAGGAACCAGCAATGTGCTGTGATGGCTAAGGCAGCCTAAGATGGTAGCCTGTATTGGGAAGAGCATTGCCAGCAGGTTGAGAGAGGTGGTGCTGCCTCTCTGCTCAGCACTGCTGAAGCCATATGTGTAGTGCTGTGCCCAGCTATGGGCTCCTTAACCCAAGATGGATGTGAATTTACTGGAGAGAGTGTAGTGAAAGATGATGAAGGGACCAGAGCATCTCATGAGGAGAGAGCTGGGGCTGTTCAGTCTGGAGAAGAGATGGCTCAGGGTTTCTTATCAATGTGTTCAAACACCTGATGGGAGCAGGAGTAACCATAGGGCTGCACTTTTTATCAGTGATGTCAGTGAAGGGTAAGAGGTAATTGGCACAAAGTGAAATACAAGGCAACTTCTTTAAACATAAGAAAAATATTCCTGTCAGGAGGTCAGACCCAACAGGCAGGGTTTGTGGAGTCTGGGGCTGGAGTAGATGTCTCTAGAGATGGCTTCTAACATCAACTATTCTGTGATCCTCTGATTTTTGAGGTGCCTGAATTCACTATCTTTTGGTTATTTCCTCTCTTTAAGGAAATAAGAGGCTAAAAAAAAGTAGAGAAGAATTATTTTGAGGGTACTAGGGAAATGACAATTCTCTATTGCAAAAATGTCACTAATAAACTCACAAAAAACTCCTTTGTTGAATGAATGAAGACTTTTGTGGCAGTAGATTTAACTGTAGTGCACTGAAACAACATCCTATTACAGTACTCACTGAATGGTACTCTGTATTTGAGGCTAGGAAAAACAGTGTTCCTGTGGTTTTGGTGTTCAGAAATCCAACACATTTCATGGAATTATGTAAGAAATCTGTTGGTCTTTAGTGTACTTCCTGTAGAGTATACACTGAAGGCTTCTATTCATCAATTCTCTTCCTGCTTTAGGGTAAAGGTTGATCACATGTCCCTTTATGGAATATTTCAGTGATTTATTTGTTGAAAAATACCACAGTTGAATTTTCTGAAAACTGACCAATTTGCCTGTTATTTTTATACAGCAATCCTGTATGATTCATATTCTCCTGCATATTAGAGCAGTGTTCTATTTTGAGGCGCTTTGTCTTTCCGTACAGCAACTTTGTCTTGACTGGGTTTCTTACTTTTCAAGTTGCTGCTCTTCAGTTAATGAGCACACATGGTTCATCCTAGAGAAGTCACCGTCTTAGGAGGAGAGAACATCAGGTGGGCAGTCTTCAGTGCAGTAGAATTATTCTTTTGTAGAGATACAAGGGGGTTGAAAAACTTAAATGCAATGTTCTAACATCACTAGCCTCCCTCAGTGGGGAGAGAGAGATTAAGTCACCAGAAGGTGTTTTAGAGTGTTGCTAGATTCTGTTAGATGATTTAGTGAGGGAAATCTTGTCCCTAAGATGTATCCCAAGATATTGAAGTACAAGTGGAACTTGACATACTATAGCTTTTTGGTTAGACAGCAATGTATGCATGACATTGTCAACAATGCTGTTGTTACTGTACTGCAGAACAGAAATGGTTGCTTGCAGCTGAGGTGATATAGAACAGTCTCTCTAGTCTTTTTCTTGTAGCTTGGCTTCTCTGTCATTAAATGAAATTTGTAATTTAATATGGTAGGTTATGGTGAGAAACAGTCTTGTTGATTCCTGCAAATTATTCTGCTAGAGCCATTTTTCATTGAATGTGATATTCCACAGTCCTTGTGGAGCATATTGAAGGTACTCATATATCTGGCAAGAAATAAGTATTATTATTTAATTCCTCCCCCTTTTTGCTTTGCAACTTTGTAGCAGTTATAGGACATCACATTCACAATAAAAATAATTTTTATGTAATACCTACAGCATAATATCCCATCAAATAGATTTCATCCTTCAGTTATGTAAATCACTAAAAAAATACAAGCAGTTCTTGCAATCACTTTATTTTTTTGGGGGTTGGAACCTATAATTAATATTGTGTATCTTCTGTGTGTTGCCTCTGATTTCAGGGGATCACAAAACAATAGTAAGTTTAAACCCATGCACAAAAAAATGTACAGATTATATTAAAGTTACTTTAAATGCATTAAGCTGGAACAGGAACTTAACTGTTTCATGATATGTAGTTGTACGTAACATTTCAACTGTCACTTTTAATAGACACAATATAAATACTCAAATAGAATTTTCAAATTCTTCAAAAGTACTGCTAGAGTCTAGCTAGAAAGATTTTTTTTTTCCCTAGCATTTGTGTACAATTCAGAGGAACTGTAGCAGTTCAGAGGAAAGCTAGGTAGCTGGTTTAGTCTCTTTCCTTCCACCATTTCGGGTGTAAATCAGTTGCACAGATGGGGTGCAGCTTGCAAGAGTGGAATTTTTCCAAGAGCTTGGAGGGAAGAGAAATAAAAGGAGTAAAATGCTGTTGTTGTTCACTTTTTGGAAAATATTTTGATTTATTCAAGTACAGGATATCTTGACTAAATACAGTTTGTTCTGAACTTTTGGTTGTGTCCATCCCTCTACATCCACCCCCAGTGTGAGGACTGAAATGGGGAACTGAATGTCCTTTAAAATACCAAAATGTAGCATTCTGAAATGCTTAAATGCAAAACCTTATTCATTATTTTTGGAGAAGGGGGTGGCACTTCAAATCAAATCTCTAAATGTGCTTTGTGAAAGAAAACCCTTTCACAAGGTTCATAAGAAGGCTGAAAAATCTGTGTGATGCCCAATAAAATATATCTCTTTTGTAGTCAAGTACAAACAGTAATTCCTTTATTGCTATTTTTTTCCTGGTTTACTAAATCATCTTGTAAGCCGCATAATTTCAGTACTTCATATTAAAAATTTTAAGAAGATGAAACCTCCTAATAACATCAATTCTACGTAAAACCTCTAATATTAACAACAGTACTACAGACAGATAAATGGATAATAATATTGTTTTCTTCACAACCTTGCTGAAGAACATGTACACTAACATGTTACATGGGTTTGGGTGGGAACAATATTAATATCCTACTGTGCAATGACAATCTGCTCCATGATATTGCTGTGTGCAAGTCCTGTGTGAACATCTGGGTAGATGCTGGAAGACAAATGCCAGATTACTCAGAGAAAGAGAGCTTGCTTGAAATGCTGAGAAATGGAGACAGCATAAAATAAAGCCATATTGCATCAGTTAAGAATTTTTTAATGCCCTTTTAAAACACAGTAACATTTCCACGAATCAAAAATGAAAGTAAGGGCCGGTAACCCTTTGACAATGCTTATTCAGTATCACTTGAATCTTTAGGATCCTGAAAATAAATGCAAACCTAAAGCATCTGCCGGCTACCGGGAAGCCATGAATTGTCAAAAGAAATGCTGGGGCTGTCGATCAAACACGCTGTGTATCCAAATTAAGGATGATGCTGATTTCTTTTTCCGACTTTTATATGAGTGTTTCTCCCTGAGTCCAGAAATCATCAGCTCATAAAATTCTTCCTTACAGGTTCCAGTGCCAGAATAAGTACTCCCTTCTCCAGGGGGCTGTGGCTGCTCCTTGGCTCGTTATGTGCAGCAAGTGCCAGTCCTGTGCCCTGCTGGGAAGCCCATGTGTGGAGCTCCCGGAGACACAGCTGCAAGTGTGCTGACCTGTTCGAGGCGTGAGGGGAGGTTGGCAGTGACTTCTGAGATGCTGTGGAGCACTATATGCTATGGGGCCTCCATATGCTATGGAGCTACCATACTGTGTTCTCCTGTGGCAGTGTATTGGGAGACTTGCCTGTGTATCTGTGCCTTTGGAAACACTCCAAGGATCAGCTGCGCACAAAATTTTCCAATTTTGACATACCATGATATCATCAGTGTCCTCTTAGGCTTATGGTATGAATGGTTAAGTAATGTCTTTTGAGGGTGCAGCTACAGGACAGCACAGCTGGATTTGATTTCTGAGGATGAAGAGAGGACCATTGACTTGTTTTCACTGTAGTATGTTTAAAAAGATGGTGGTGGGTACTACTCTTAGGCTATAGCTTGTTTTGGGCAGTTTGTGAGAGGGTTGTGACAGTTTAGAAAAGTAATAAAAACATAGTATTGGATTAAGTTGAATCTGTTTTTGTACATGTTGCTTTTTAAAAATACATATGTAAATGCTTTATATATGTATTGTAAATCTATGTAAAATATAATGTGTGTATTTATACTTCTTTTACAGATCACTAAGATAGAAAATATCAACCATTTGGGTGAACTGAGAGTATTAAACCTTGCCAGAAACCTACTGACCATTGTAGAAAATATTAACGGACTGGATTCACTCACAGAGCTCAACCTACGTCATAATCAAGTCTGTTCTATAGTAAGGAAAAATACCAGTTATATTTCCAGTGTTGTCTTGCTCACAGCTGGTGCCTTTTCACCCTTTTCAGGAATAGTTCCTGCATTGTCCTTGTTTCCCCTCAATGCAGCATGGGTGCTAAGGAGTTACAGGAGAACCTAAGCCTGCATCCCACCTTAATGTTTCGTTTCTCTCTGGTCTAAAGCAGTGTTTCAGAAAGAAAATTTCAGAAATTTTGTTTTATTTTGTCCATAATATTAAATTAATTGATTGTCACCCTGGCTACAGTCTAATAGATCACTTTTTGAGTTGGATGGTGATTTTAGCAGACAGCACTAACTCTCCTTCTTCTAGAGAAGGATTCTGAAGTAATATGAAGTCAAGATTTGGACATGTCATAGTGTTTGCGATATGGAAAAATGGTTTTTCATTCCTAATATTAAATCTCTTTCTCATTTTAATGGTAGGCAATTTTTAGATGCACGTGTATTTTAGATTTATTTTAACTTTCTGAAGTGGAAAGACCTTAGAAGATGAAAGTTGCACTATTTTGTTTTGAAATCAAAAATCTGTTGCAATTTACATTCCTGCAAATCTAGAAACACAGAAACAAATTGATCATTTTATGGAAATAATGTTCAAGGTAGTTTACTTTTGGAGTACTTGAAGTTGGGGGAAGAGAGTTGTTGGTTTGACTTCTAATCCTCTTCCTTAAAGGAAAGGTTTTCTAATTGTTGGCTTATATAGAATTCGTTTTTGGAATTTGAATCACGATATAGGTATGATATAGAGGTAAACTGAAAAATTTCCACTCACATAAAGAGTGTGGCTTCTACTGCATGGGCTGTGGTTTAGTTACTCAGTTATGACAATACTATAATAATGAATTTCTAAAACGTTCTCTCTCAGTACATTTTTGTGAACCTTTCTTATTTTCAATGTTTTTTCTCCTGTGATGTCTAGAAACATATTACTTTTATAGAAAACATGATGTTCTCATTTGTCAGATAAACTGAAGTTCGGTACTAAACTCCATACCGTGATGCAGTTGACTCTACTGGATAATTAGAGTTACCCAATTCAATTGCAGCCTGTTTGCTCAATTAAATCTGTAACTACCTTCTATAATTCTTTTGCCTTAGATTAGTAATTTGGGGGCCATTTTTTGTCTTTAAGCTATCCATCAGATTTCACTGGAAATATTTGAATCAAAAAATAGTTATTTTAAAAACAACAAATTCTAGTTCATCCAAAGTGGTAGAACCTGGAGAAAAAGAAAAAGAAAAAAGAAAGAAAATAAATAAATAAATAAAAAGGAAGCACTCCTGTAGTGAATTAAAGATGTCTTCAAGAAGTTGGACTATTCTGAGGAAGGGCAAGTGGGGGAGAGTAAAGGATTATAAAAATTCTCAACTGGTGTCAAAAACATGAATCTCTACATATAAGGAGTTATGGAATGTCTGTTTCCTTTTCATCCAGTAGTGAATTAGTGTCCCTAATTAGGAATTTTTGTTTAAAAAAGATAGCAGCTTGCCTACTTTTAGGTAGGTGTAAAAACTAGTGATTCTGTCGTTGTCATGTGCAGCTTGATCTTAGACATGGAGAACTGTTTAAATTGTGCATTTTCATAGGATGAAAACTCCTGCCTCGTAGGTCTGCTGACTTAATGACCTCATAGCAAAACTGAAGTTGCTCAGGCCTTCCTTGTAACTGAGGTGATGCCTCATGCCTGTGAGGCTTGCAACATCTCTCAAGACAGCAGAGATTGCTTCTAGCTAAAGAAGTCTGTCTTCACAGGAAATTACGTTGTGTTCCCAAACACAAAATTCTTTCACTGCTTAAAGTCTGTATTGCTTGACAAGAATTACTGTGCACAGTCTGTCTTGCTGTGTATTTCATCCTTGCCCCTGTGCTCCCTGAAATGTCAGCACTGTAAGTAGCCTTAGGCACTGAGGTTACATCTAGATGACAGTTGTGAACTCAGTCTCTCCATAGTCTAATCTAAGTGGATTCAGAAGAGCCTCAAAGTAGGAGTTGGCAGCTGTAGTTAATATAGACTGGAGCTAATGAGCCCTCCTTATTGTTGATAGGTCTGTGATTCTCATCGTGGTTTGTTAGCTCACACACAATGTTTCATTGATAGCAGCAACGTGACATCTTCAGCACTGCCTTAAGCTTAGCTGCCTGGGTAGGATGCCTGCAGAATGCCCCTTCCAACTCCGGGACTACCCATGTGACTGGAGCCTAAAATGAAGGGAGTCCCTGTGTCACTGCATTCTGCATGTGAGGAGGTTGGTGGCCACTGGCTGCAGGCTGGAGGATGCCCCTTAGCAGGACAAAGAGATACCATTGAGGTGATACAGTTTACCCTTCTGCTATAAGAGGGTACATGCAACGCTGCAGACTGCCGTCTGGCCCCTGTGGATTTATGTTTCATAAATAACTTCATCTTAGTTGATGTGTTTTAGTTTACTAATTCTTTGGACAAATTTAAAGTGTTCTGTAAAGGTCTTTAGTAGTATTTATTGAATTCACAATTACTCATTCTTAATTTTTTTTATACATTTGTAATGTCTGCAGATTATATATAAACTTAAAATCAGTCAGATTACCCTGAATGTACAAAAATGTACAAAATCTTTCAGTTTTCCTCTAGCAGAAGAGCCTTTGCTATTTTTAAGTGCTAGTTACCTTGCTGCATGGTGCAATTTTCAAAAGCCTTATGGCAGCATGCTCACAAAAGATTTTTTTTTTTTTTTTTCCCATGGGAATTTGGTTACAGCGTATTTAAGGTACAGCTTAAATATGCTGAAACAGCACCTTGGCTTCTTTCCCAAAAGCCTGTTCAGAAACCAGCAGCAGTTTCATCCTCTCTTTAACACTGTTTGCCTTGCAAGTGGTGCAGTTTGTTCTGCAGAGTAGATATCTGCACTGAAACACTCCCTTGCAGTCTGCACTAGGGAGAAATGGAGCTGCATGTGCGACAGAAGTCAATGTTGTAGCAAGGTTATAGTATATAGCAATGAATGTGTTTCATCATCAGGCACACTAGAAAGCTAGGAAGGATGATATTTTTCAGCAACTGAATTTATGCCTCTTTTTTTTTTCCTTCTAGAAAGATGTGGATACTTTGCCCTGTCTCCAGCGTTTGTTCCTCAGCTTCAATAACATATCTAGGTAAGGTTAATAGCAGTTTGTTTCCTATCAGTAATTTGAGGTATGTTATTACAGCTGTATTTTATTAAATTTTAAATTCTTGCACTATGAATACAGATCCTTCTTTGTAACATGTTAGATTATATAATCAAGCCATTATGTTTTTCCTACTTTAATATGAAAAGTTCTTTAAACCTTTTGCATTTCAGTGTGCTTGTGCTCTGAAAATTATAATGTGAAAAATCATTTTTTTTAAAGATGGCCTTATTGTTTATAATTATGAAAATTAGAAGATGTTGCAAGTGTGTTGTATTTTTAAAATATATGTCTGTTAAAGTAGCATTGTGCAGGGCACTTAAATACAGTGCTTGCATGTTAAATGAAATATATAAGCCTGGTACAAACTGCTGAGTCAGATTCTGCTTACTTACGTTGATTAGAGAATTTTATGATTATGTCTTATATGCTCATTTCTTAATAAAGTCTGAAAGGTATATTCATGGTACTTGGAAACCGGATGGTAGAAATAGAGTAACTCAGATTTCTATTAGGGCTTCTGTTTTAGGTAACCAAGCAAGCTTTGTAATAAATAGAAATGTCTTCTGTATTTTTATCTGCATAGATTTGTGATCTGTGTTTATATACTCGTAATGATTTTATGCATTAAAAAATTCAAAAAAAAAGTCCTTACATTAATTTTCAGTCGAGTGATATTGTTTGCCTTTATCCCTTACTCATCACGAGCCTTTGCCAGACTCATTTTGATAGAATTGGATAGAGATAGAGTCTAATTACTGAAAATACTTCCACATTCCTGTGGTACTTGTTTTCTTCTGTAAAAAAAAGTTATACTTAATGCGAGCTTCTTGAATGTTTTAAGCTGACCTGCATTATATTTTTTGCAGACAGCTCCAACCTACTTGTCTGTGTTCCTTAGGCTCTTGAAGTACAGTGGTCTCCTAAATACTCCTGAGTATTAAGCATTTTAAAAACTCAGAGATGAGCTTCAGGAATGTTTAATATACTCTTCATTCATCTGGTAGTCTCCTTATGTTTTAAATTGAGGTAATAAAGATAGGGTTTGCTGCCTTTTTTTTTTTTTTTTTTTTTTTTAAACCTTCTTCTGTTAGATAACTTCCAAATTGAGCACATGCCATTTGTTCTGCTTTTCCAACAAATGTCTTAGGCTGGCAAGAGCAATGGGGGACTGCAGTAGCACTTTCCCTTGTCATCAGGGAGTATCATCCTGCAGTCACTGGAATTTCTGTATAGTTTTTAGATACTTGATGTATTTCATGTAGTTTTCTGACTCCTTTCTCACATCGTTTTGTGTAGATTTATAGTGTTACTTTTGCAGTGTGTAAGGAATGAAAAAGGTTTTGGATTTTTCTGCAAATTTCTTAAAGATGATGTCCTTACATTTTATATAATCAGTTCTCAAACTTTGTCTTAAGCAGCTTATTTTGAGAATGTGATCCTGATTTTTATCTTTTATTCATTGGAGTTAGCGTTAGGAGATCTAGCCTTAGTTTAGTTCAAAAACTTACTTCGAACATTCTCGCAAATATATAATGTTAATTGGGTTTTATTTTTTGCTTGGAATAGATATAGAAACATTTAATTTCCATGCTACAAATTTTATATACCCATAGAGATAGGTAGATGGGTGGATCAGTTTAGGTTTCTGTTGTTCTATTCATTAAAAACAAAGCAAACTTTATTATAGCGTTTGGCTTAGGTTTTTGAAGCAGTGACGTTCCATTGCCTAATGGGAGTTTTGAAGGTTAAAAAGCCTCATTAATAGTTCATCTTGAGTTAAGCAATGGATATATGGCCTCACAGTGAATGATTAAATGCAAAAGTAAGTTCATGGCCTTTTTCTGTAGTCATCTGATACTTGGCTTGATGCTATTTCAGCTGATCAAAGAAGCCATGTATGACTATAACACTAGTAAATTGTGGTGCAGTGTCCAAACATTTCTACAGTCCTTTTAAATGCCTTTATATAGTTTGAGTTGCTTACTTGATTTTACTATGTTCCATATGGGAATGTTTAAAACACATTTCTCTAGAAACGTCTATGTGTCCAGTGGCTTCTAGGTAATTAGTTATATAGCTATTCTGGTTAATTCATTTGTAGATGCACAGAGAAAATCTGCAAGTAGAGACGAAGTGTGTTGCCAAAAATGGGATAGATTTATAATATGGACTCATTAAATTGTTTCATTAAGAAATTAAAGTATTTTAGAAGATAAAATACTATGTAAGTGTAGGATTTCTTAGATAGTCTTACCATGTAAAGTTGTATTGCTTTCTATTTTTATGACAGCAAGAGTCCTTGAGTCTCAAGTAGATACAGATATGTGAGTTGTAGTCTCAGTAAAAGATTCAGAATTGCCTTTTTAAAATTGTCTGTGGCTAAGACACAGGAATCTATAAGAGGTTTCATCACTGAACAGTCTTTTCCTCTTCACCTTCAGGCAAGGCTTCAGAAAGCTGTTGCTTCTCTGCAGAGCTTTTACTAAAAAGTATATGTTAGCAAGATAATACAAGCTAAAACCACACTCAGTGAAAGTTGATGCAGATCTGAAACAAAGGATGTCCTGTTTCAGCCCACCCTCCAAAAAACAATTTAGCCATTACAAACTGAAGGTATTCGCTCAGTGTGGTTGATTATTATTGTGAGTCTAAAATGAGTTATAAAGAGGGTTAAGAAATCAGTTTTTTAATTTGTCTTGTGGTATTGGGAAGTGATTACAGACCTAATTTTCTTCTAGAAAGATACCTCACTGAGATTCATAAGGAGGGCTGTTATTGTTCATATTTAATAATGTAAAATAGGAAGAATTTAATAAGGAAAATGCATTCTCCTTGTTATGATAATTTGCTCCAGGTCAGCACTGTGTTTGCTTTTTCATTTGCTAAAGCACTTTATTTAGCCATATTGAAAAAAATGGCTACCATTTCAGTAGGCCTGTGGAGTACTTTTCTTGACTTGGTTACCTAGCTGGACACCTAAGAGAAGGAATGTGCTTAGTCTAATCTAAACAAGTTTTTTTTTCTCATCAGAATAAAAAGTGATGGATACTTTTCCTAAACATTTATACAAAAAAGTACAATAGGAATGAAAGGTGGTAGAAACTTCTTTCTTAATAGGTAGTTTAGTTGTTAGAGATTTGGGATGGGAGTCAGAAGTTTTCATCGACTGAATGTTTCTTGGAGCTGTGATTTGAGTGCATTAGCACCCAAGTTGTTATCCAGTATGTTGCTTTCAATCTTTTCTTCAGACCTTTTTCACTTTGTGGAACGTGTTTTTAAAAAATCATGGGTGCAAGTGCAAGAGAGAATTGTGCTCCTGAGCAAGTAGGCTGTTTATGAGGAGACAAGCATCCCAGTTCATGCCTACTAAATGTTTAGAAGGTAACCAGTATCCAAGCTGGATGCTGAATGTGCATCATTGCAGCATACTCTGCTGCTTCCTCATTGCAGAGTTCCCATACAAGGTGCAAGAAGTGTGTTTGCATCCCTTTTGGCAGAGGAGGGAAATGGATACAGGACTACTATGTCTTGACAGTGCTCAGAGTGGTCTACCTTGAATCTGAAAGGAAAAAAGTCTAGAAAACACTCTAGAGTAATTTAACCCAAACTCACCAATCGCGTCTGTATTACACTGAATTTACCTTTGCTAGAAAGGAGGTTGGTTGCTCCTGGTTCCTGGGGTAAAGGATTTTTGGAAAGAGGGGCAAATGTTCCATTTGAGCCCTGGAGGAGAAAGTTATTTGAGCCGGTGTGAAACAGCATCGTGTGCAGCTGCAGCAAGTGGCTCGAGAGCTGCTCCATGAAGAGCAGCTGAGGGAGAGAGCATCGAGACGTGGCCTCATGACTCACGTAGAGCCTCAGCGCTCGCCACCATGGCATTTGTCCCTGTTGGGGGAAAGAGACCCACTTGTTTGAAAGGTATGTGGTCTCTTTGGTGCATGTGCCATCTTAAAGCTTCACTTTTCATAGATGTGATGCCTCTGTACTAAGTACAATATATTAAGTTTTCTACATTGAATTTCTACACTGTATTTTTCATATATCTATGCAAAGACTCCCAAAGTTCACTGGTTTTGCACTGTTGTTTGCTCTAAAATTGAGTTACTAATATGGTAGCTAAAAGCAGGATAAAGCGAGCACATCTGTTTTAGCTCTAGAATTAGTATTCTGGCTTGCTGAAGTGCTGGGAATTTAAGAGCATGGAAGTATGTTTTAGTGGAAGGTCTTGAAAATACTAGCAAACTCAACCACTGGATGTGTCACACTGTTTTTAATTGCAAATGCAATTCATATTAATTTGGGGTTATGTATTGATATTTATACTATTTTTTTTCTAAATGTGAAACTATGTTCTTTTAGATCACATACGTGTATAGAGACACAGAATAAAGAGTGTGTTAAGAGATGTGCAGCAGCTATTCTTGGTAATTCAAAACACTTTTAACTTGATTTGTCATGTATGATATGCTGTTTTCTTCAGTACAGAAAAATATTCTTTCCTTAAAAGAAAAAAATCTTCCTTCTCAAACATCTTCCCATGGCATTAAAGCTATAAACTTTATTTGGTTACAGTTTTGAGGATATTCTGTGCCTTGCTGATTCCTCATCCTTGTCAGATATCACCCTTGATGGCAATCCAATAGCTCAGGAGACATGGTACAAGCACACTGTTCTCCACCATATGATGCAGCTCCGACAGCTAGATATGAAGAGAATCACAGTAAGAAATTTTCTACAATGTATTTTTGTCACATAGTAGATGCTTAGATTTAAGAGTAAAATGTAGGGCTTTGTATATAGAGGAAAAAATGTATTTTTATTTAAACCTGGAAGTTCATGATATTTATACAAAATATTCAAGGTTTAAACCTTTTTATTTTGCTCAGTATTATATAACAGTGTGCTTCTTTGCTTCCCGTTAACATATTCTAAAATGTTTAAATTTTTTCATTACTAAGCACTGTGTGGCTAAATGCCAAGTGATAGTGAAACTATAGAGCTCCTAGTTTGCACTTTCACTGTGTAGTCTGTATTGACTTGTTCTGTAGATGAAAAGCAACAGGCTATTTCTACCAGAGCAATAGAATGCTTGCTGTAAAATCAGCACTGTTTTTATCTTTCATTTAAACAGGTTGTGGGTTTTTGGTCTGCCTCTGTAACGAGACCTGCTGATTGCGTTGTTTCTGTGGGTCAGTCTGCCTTTCCCCCTCCCTTGCCTAACCTCCTCTTCCCCCCTTCATTTCTGAATCTACTGGTCAAGTTCAAATAAGCTTGAATGAATAGGAGAAAATGACTTGTGGAGAGCCAGCTTCCTCAGACCTCATGGAAACATGCTGTGAGGGAGAGCATGTAGGGGAACTTGCAGGGGCATTGAGGCAGAGATCGAGGCATCTCTTTTGTCTCTGTTAAGAGTAACTGTGTTAATTCTTCTCTCTACTCTGTGTAAGCCTGACCTGCTTACAAGAGGCATCCATGTAACAGCCAGATAACAAGTATAATAGGCTTAACAAACAACAGTAATCTTTGACCAGATCCTGATACAGTCACTGTCTTTTAAGTGCTTATTTGCTTTGTATGGAGCCTCTTAAGTATTATAAATTGCACCTGTTTTGTACGTCTCATCCTGTTGTGTTGTAATAAAACCACTGTGAATCTAAAATAGATCCAATTATGTGACAATATGCATGGGGAAAACATGGCCTAAGTGTTAACACCAGTATCTATTCAATCACTTCTTTCCAGGTATTGGGGGACTTTTTCTTTTTGAATTTATACCAACTTAATTGAATACCAGCAAATTGTTTTGCTTTGCAAAACTCTTTCCTTAGTGTTATTTCAGGAACCTAAGTAAGGTAAGAATTCTTTACTCTGAACTTCTGCTGCAGAATGGGGAGAGAAGAAAAGGGGGAAGTTGGTGTATTTCCCACCCCCAAGTCCAATGGATAGAGATTCTAGTAGTATTGTCAGCAATGAAAGAACTACAGAAAGAGCTCTAAACTCCTTTTAAACTCAATGCATGAGAAAGATCTATTAGAAGTGCACAGCCATGAGGAAAGATCAATCTGTGTTCACACCTTGTTAAACATCAGAGGATCAACCATGAGACAGCAAGCCACAGAAAACCAGGCTTCACTAGTTGTGCTGCTCATAAAACTACTTGTAAGGAATGTGTTTTGCATTCTTTTTATTTGCCTTCTAGGTTTTGAGCCTTGAGAATTTCTTTTTAAACTTTCTCTGTGCAGAGGAGACAATATGCTTTTTCCGGAAAAAAATTGTGTTACCCAGATATTCATATGATTTAACTGGGACTTTAAGGAAAATAACAAGTATCGTGAGATCTGGGGTAAAATTAGAGAGTTGGCAATGCCTAATCCAGCTATGCTGCTTAGTAATGCAGCATGTTGTTGCCATCAAATATAAGGGTAAAGTAACTTAGTGGGGGAGTGGAAGTATAGTGCGAGCATATGTTTTTTCTCGCTGCATTAGTAGAACCAAACTCTAATTATGCTAATTAGAATATTTTCTTCCTTGGTTTGAAGTATGTCCAGACATTCTGAACTGAGGTATTGCTTTATCTTTCAAAGAGTTGAGAGTTGGACTTGGATGTTTGTTTTTTCTGACCAGAAATTCTTCTCTAACCTGTTTAGAAGTTCTGCTGGAAAACTTTTAGACAATTGTTTCAGTTTTCAGGTTTTAACTTGCTCTCTTTGCTGGGGTGAGATAACTATTTTAAGTTAGAATAACATCTAACGGATATTTTTCAAAAGTTTTTACTTATTTCTATATATTTTTGAGATGTACTCCCTTTGGTGGCTCACCTCTTCAGTAGGAACTCCAGAGGCACAAACCCCAAAATCGTAGGTAGTGATTTGGAGGAAGGTAGGCACTCTAATGAGTTTGTGCTTTTGCATAACTATGGGAAAAAATTACTTGTGAGGCAGTAAGTGCAGAAGGGGTGTGCGTGAGAAAGGCTGAGTTACAGTGGCATGACGAATTCCCAGGTGTCACCCGTGGTAATAATCAGTAACCATGTGTTGTTTGTGCTTCTAGTCCATCTCAGGTGTAAGATAATATGATTTGATTTATGGCTAAATGATCTAGGTTTGTTGAAGTTGAAGTGTATTACAGCTGTGAGCTCTGGTCAAATCTGTAGTGTGTTGCATTGCTTGGTTAATGTGCTACAGTGGCTAGTTTTTGGGGCGCTGAAACTTTTGGAATGTTTTGTAGCCCTTGAAATTTTTTAAAAGTGGACTTATCCAGTCACAGATGTACTTCAGCTCTCTAAAATATATTCCCTGTAGTCCTTAATAACAGGAAACAAATATTGTCTGTCTACATAGAGTATATGTTTAAATATGAATGAAATACATACCTATCTTAGTGTGAAGTAATTTAACTAGGAATACCACTTCTATCCCTCACTTCAATACTGTTTCCCAGCAAAATTGCTACATATTTTTAACAGTAGAACTTTTGCCTCTCTTTACTTTCAACTAAACTTGTGAAGTAATCCAGTTGTGAAGAGGAGTGTGAGCATCCTGGTATGCTCAGGCGAGGATCCATCTCAGGTCTTGCTGGGTGTTTTGTCTTACAAGACTGGTGGCTAAAATGAAGATTTGTAGTTTTTCTTACAATAGTGCTCAATTAGCAGCAGGGGGAGCTATCAGTATGCCAATATTATGGAAATAAAGTTATTTAGTAAAGATGAAGTTCTTTTTGTGTTCTGTCAGCACTGTTGCTTCACATTAAGACTATAAACCAGCAGCATTAAAAGCTCAGTTCAGTGATTTCTGTATTGCAGAAGCTGAGACTTTTTCTTATTATAAATTCTTTTTCTTACTCTCTTTGTAACCTTTTTAGGTGGGAAGTGGAGAAGAAATAAATGGCAAAGATTTCAAAATAAGGAAGATCATACAAGTTCTTTCCCCATGGTTTGTCATCTTTGCCTCTGGAAAAACATCTGCCCATCTCTAACGCAGGTGTCTCCTGTGGTCACTGTAGCAGTTGAGCCTTTATTATGATGAATTTTGCTTTCCTGCCACTTCCCTTCCACAGTAGGACAGGAGCCCAGTGTGTTTGTCCAACTCCCCAGCTGGAATCTAAATTATTGTGAGGTATAGTGGAGGTCGTCTTTC